TGTATTTGAATATAAACTAGTCAAATACAAATACATTTGTTATAATTATTAATACAAATATCGAACACTTCCATTCTTCGGATCGAAGGAATTTTTTCTAGTGTTCGGTTTTTGTATTAATAATTATAACAAACCAGTGGAGTAATTTCATAAAAATAATTTAATATCATGGTGGTCAAATATCGTGATATTCAATAACACTTAAAAATTACAATTACTAACGCGACACCTTTAGTCAGCTGCTGGTAGCTGTAAAGGTACCTGGCTGAATGAAGAAATATATTTCTCACAGACAGCAGTAATGGCAAAAAAAAAACAAATATCTGCAACAAGCACATACACAAATTCATAGCTGTGTGATCGTCTCTTAGATCCGAAAAAACAGTTTCGTGTCCAAATTGTTAGTACACTTTGCCATTTATTTAACGCACACACTCACAGCCCCGCACTAGGGAATCCCTGTATCGCGGGTGCCATGGACATACACATAGACAACCACAAATTACACCCAAACTCACGAGAGAAAACATGTATGCCATACAAATATATATATCGGCCCGAGAATCGAACCTGAGACTTCTGCGCGGCAGTCCAGAATGGTAACTGTTCGGCCATGAAGGCCATTGGTATGGCGAAAACTTGAAAACTCGAAAAAAATATTCCCATTTGAAGGTTAGTAATGAATTAACCTCAAATATAAAAATGTAGAGATTTTTGTGAAGGGAAATCCAAAATGGCTCCTTATTTTAACTAACAGTTAAACATAAACTCATTTTTTTAAAGCACTTACTCATATATAGATTTTAAGAGTCGTGGTTGTTCACTAAATGATTATCACTAATATCAGGTTCTTACCGCGGTATGAGAGGAGTCAACCCGTGACCATGGAGCGTGCAACCGTTCCGAAATATCGGGAAAATAAAAAGAAGTCATACCGTGGTAAGAAACCTGATATTAGTGATAATCACTTACTCATAGCCCCGCACTAGGAAAACTCTGTGTTACAGGTGCCATGGACACACACATTAGAACCACAAATTACACCCAAACTCACGAGAGATATAAATGTGGGCCATACAAATTATTTAATAAAATACCAGATGCAGTTAAAGAACTAAATTGTAGGCAATTTAAAATAAAATTACATAGTTTGTTAGTTACACAATGCTACTACAATATAAATGATTTTTTAATTGATAACATAAAATGTAAAATTTAACCACGGTGCGTGGTTTAAATAAGAATTTTATTGTGTAAAATATTCGCATGCCAAGTTTTGGTGAAATGTACGATCTAATAATAATATACTATAACACCATTGTAAACTACATTTTTCAGCGAATAAATATCTTGTATTCTTGTAATATTTCTCCCGGTCCGATAATCGAACCCGAGACCTCTTCGTGGCAGACCAGCAAAGTAACCGTTGGGCCACCGGAGACACTTCAGGCAGACAAAGATTCTATTGATATTAGCGGTATTACACTAAAGCAAAATGCAGTATATTGTTAAATTAGTATATCCCATTATTGCAATTTTTGCGCATACAGCAGATTTACTGTTTGCCGAGTTGTTACTCTACTCGGTATACGATTCTCGAACGGTCTCCCATACGACATTCAAAAAGCGCCGAATAAGCTAGCAATTAGTCCACAATCTCGTGTTGAGCCTTCATCTGCATCCCATCAGTCTGACATTGTTATATATTGTAGTTAAGTTTTTATTAAAAGTCAACAAGTTACACCAACATGATATTCAATTCTTTTTTTTGTGATATTACTAACCACGGTAACCGTTAGGCTACGAAGGTAGTCAAACATTATTTTCACTCAGTAGAGCAAATCTACTCAGCAACCGGCTGAATGAACTGCACAACAGAACACCGGAAGTGAGAGGAGAGCGTTGTGGTGTGAAAGATAATGGTAGCGACTGAAAATTTATATAACCAAAGTGGACGCGTTGGATAGGGTCGATTTCGCCATACATACAGGGTGGAAATTTGTAATACTACCTGGAGGAAAGTACTCTAAATACTGGAGATAGAAATTTTTACATAAAGGAAACATTCCTTTATTTTTTAAAAGAAATAATACTGCATTCATAGATTTTCGAAAATTTCTAGCAACACGCGGGAATCGAACCCGCTTTAATCTGAAAAAAATGCACCCTGCACTTTTATTGCATCAATCGATAGTGTTAATTATAAGAATAAAATCTCTCTCACAAAATTGGTTAATTAAATGAAAAAAAAAACGATGAAATCTTAACGTATTTTGACACACAAATTTAAATTCTTATAATTAACCCTATCGATCGATGCAATAAAAGTGCAGGGTGCATTTTTTTCATTTAAAGCGGGTTCGATACCCGCGTGTTGCTAGAAATTTTCGAAAATCTATGAATGCAGTTTTATTTCTTTTAAAAAATAATGGAGTGTTTCCTTTAAATAAACATTTCTATCTCCAGTATTTAGAGTACTTTCCCTCCAGGAGGCATTTCAAATTTCCAACCTGTATATTATTAATATTGAGAATGATCTTAAAAAAGGCATACACATAACTTACAAAAATAAACTGACGGAAAGTAAAGAGAATAATAATAAACACCAGCTTTCTTTTGTGCCTTACCTAGTTTTGTTACCAAACAGTAATATGATTATTACTCCGTTCCGGTTTTGATGTAAAGAAGGAAGCAAACGAGCAGACGAGACACTTGATGGGTATGGACATTTGCAATATCAGATGAGCTGCCTATGCGTTGTCAGCCTTTGAGAACCCTGTAAACACACTTTTGGAAGAAACCCATGTCACAGTGCAACAAAAATACTTCAGGACGAAGAACATGTAACATCTTGCAGGCTCGAGGAAGGAACGGCCGAGATGCCCGCCTGGTCTTACAATGCCAGGCATCTAAGATTGGACTCTACTCCTTGGGCGGAAGGTGCGATGGTGGAAACGAGACTATGGCACCCGTTCTAAGAGTTCCACAGAGCACTGCCATTATAAAGACTCTCCGTAGGCTAAGGCTCCATTGACCATATGGCTTACTTTTAATCTTAATTTTTTTTTATTTTTATAACGCATACACTCAACATAGCCCCGCACTAGGGAAACCCTGCGTCGCGGGTGCCATGGACACTCACATAGACAACCACAAATTACACCCAAACTCACGAGAGAAATAAATGTAGGTCATACAAATATTTCGCCCGGCCCGGGAATCGAACCTGGGACCTCTGCGTGGCAGTCCGGCATGGTAACCGTTCGGCCACGGAGGCAATTAATTAAAATTGGATATTTTCTACACGATACCGCACGATGCCAGTGTGAACCAATTACCACCTGGCTGTTTGATCATGCGTACACTTCCAATTATTCTCGTCGAGTTCTCTCCAACGAGACAATGGAACAGTGAGCCTGTTTAGTTGAAGACGGTTAATTGCTCGTGAAACTTTCCTCGGGTGCTCAGATGCAGACTTGAGAAAGGGTGAAATGCGGCGCAATAGGTACAGTCTATGCACTGTGATAATTGACCTACTATATTCCGTCCAACGATTTACTTTTGACAGATCGAATTCTAATCTATTAGTGATGTCCTAATGCGTTTCAGATTCGACTTTTTATAACAATCGATTTTATTATGAAGAAATTTTAATAGTTAATGTAACATACTCTTACATAAGTTCGATAAGCTCGATAAATATCGCAGCTAAAGAGCAAGTCACTTCACTGTCGTATTTTTTGTCTTTGGTTGCCTGTCAATAATTATGCAACATCGTAGGCTTAGGAAAAGAAACTATTTTTCCGGATTTAAATCGCGTATACTTGTTTTTTCAAACAATCCGACGTTTCGGGCCCTTTACAGGTCCCATGGTCACGGTTGACTGAGGTGGTACAGTCTTCAACCAGTTATGTCTAATATTGATGCAAACCACCCTATTTTTTCACTATAGTTACAATAGTTATTAATTAAGTACCTTATTTTTAATTTTACAAAGAAAACATTCCAATTTACGCTACATGTAACAGAAAACGACGACGCTAGAGAGGGGAGAAAGGCATTTGCCCAGCAGTGGAACAGTATAGGCTTTAAAAAAAAAACACAAAACTTTCAAATAAGTTGGAGAATTTTTTTCAAAATACGTAGAAAGACATTGTAAACAATTGTTTTTGGACGCAATACGACATTTTTCCATTTTATTTTAAGCCTCCTACTTGCCATGATTTCTTCAAAGTTGAAATAATTATGACACCGATTACAATAATTGTGACACCGATAAGCAATGATTTTATATACTTAAGTCTTTTTTAACTTGAATTTGACTCTCAGCTTTCAAGTTGTCAGAAAATTCAAGAAGATTAATATTATTGTCTCAATGTTGGAGAAATCATATCCAGTGTAAACGAGTCTTCAAATAAATTACAAAGTCTAAGTCGTGCTACGTTCAAAAATAAATGCTTACAACGCATTCAAGTTTTTTAAAGTATTTTTATAAAATCGTATCTTTTGTACACCATTTTTATCTCATGTGTTCTCAACTATACTTATCTTAGAATAATATTTAACACTATACTACAAAGTAATACGATAATGTTAAAAGGATTTATGTCCTGGATTGTACCTCCAGACTTAATTTAATTGCTCTTGTAAGTAATCACACTGTCGCGAATTTTAGGCCACGTGTAAATGTCTGATTCATTTATTTATTTTAATGAGAATAAATTCTTACAGACAACATTGCGAAGTATTTTACTTATCACAGTGTAATAATTCCTAATAAGTAGTTTAGTTTAATAAGCGTCGCCTATTCGAATCTTCCTAATCACAAACCAAAACTATGATATAATAAAATAAGTAGTATAACTCCATATACAAACGTAGCAATGTGGCTTGTATGTCTAAATCTATCTACAAATTTTCTGATGAAAATCTCTCATATTGTGTACCTAGTATGGCCAATTTATTATGTCTTTGACTATGTACCATCTCTGTTGTTCCAGTCTTTATCAGCGACGGTATCAGTGCCGACCTTCATCTTCGTGGACCGCTGGTATGCCATCTGCTTCCCACTGAAGTTCAAGACCGCAATTCTGATTATCTGGTTGCTGTCTTTTTTGTTCAGTAAGTATTTTTGGGTACCTCTGCTATTAGATGAAAGGGTGCATGTGAAATTTTTTCAAAATATTTGTTATATTTTTTTTTATAACATCAAGCAACGGGACGAATAAGTCGTGCGCCTGGTGGTAAGCCACACGCCTGCTCATAACAGTTGTAGTGTTACTCAGAGCTTTAAATAATAAGGATCTGGGGGCACTGCCATTGCGCCCGTCACCCTGAGACATAAGTTGACAAGTCTCATGTGCCTGTAATTTCACCAGCACCCTTACCCTTCACAAACGGAACACAGTAATGTGACCATTACTGCTTGGCGTTAGAAATAGGTAAGGTAGATCAGTGAAAAGAGGTCGATCTGTCACTATTTTTATATTTTTCTAGGTAGGTAAGGTATGAAGTTACCGCAAGGGAAAAGCAGAATGTTTTTAATTTCATTTCTTTAAACATTATTTTCTCGGTTTTGAGATTTTGTCACAAGCGCCCTTTCAACTAACGGCGGCAGATTTTCGGTGTAGTAAGGTCAAATCTGTGAAATGCCAACTTTTCAGGAAAGATGCTAAAAGATTTTGCGAACAATTTTCCGTGTAAAGGCGGAATTGTCACAGATCCGACGTTGACAAGCACCCGATGCTGACTGACCGCTGGTCAATTTTCAAGCTTTGGGATATATGTGAATTTAATACCTATACGGCTTCCGTTGAAAACAAAAATTTAGCAGGTTCTCTGAAGTACTTAAAGAAAAATACATCCGTATAAAAGTTACGTGCAAAGTTAGATATTTTATCCTTAAATAATTTGTTTTAGACTTATGTTTTGGCATATTTTCGGGATTTTATATGATCGGGTAAAATACATCCTATCATGTAACAAATTAGCAGCTTCTTTAGATAATATCCTTAAGTATATTGTATTTTTTTTATAAGACCGTTATTTAATAGTAAATGCCTAAACCGTTTGATCTAGTAAAGCAGTTTTTCGCGTTTCTCCTCCGTTGACTCGCCTTAACGTAATAGTTTGTCAGCCGTGGTAGTCTAATTGTTTGCCCTACCGCCTCTCAAGCTGAGGGTTAAACAACCCTACACCATCATTATCATCAACCAATTTATACGTCCCTCTGTTAGGCACAGGTCTCTTCACAGGCAAGGATTTAGGCTATAGTCCGCCACGCTGGCCCAATGCGTGCTGGGGGTTGGCTTCACGATGTTTTCCGTTACCAAAAAGCTCATAGTAAACTTCAAATTTAATTTCGCATATAAATTCCGAGAAATTTCGAGGACCCACAGCCTCTGATTGAGTAGCGATAGATCAAATCATTAAGCTACCACGGCTTATTACAAGACTGCTTACGGCTTATGACAACCCACCGAGTATATAACGAGAAACAGAAACGAAATAAGGGCCATACATTCCTGGTTCCATCAGTCCATCAGTGATACCTCACTTATAAATATCAACTCTCGTTTGCACTGAAATACCAAATTAGAAAGCTGAAATAGTACAGCGCCAACAACTGACCTACGTGTACGTCTCCGTATATTCCAAAAATATTCTATATTTATTGTAATAAAAATAATATCTCTAACAATGGCGTGCCGTTCCATTCGGTAGTGTGGGGAAAAACAGCAAAACATCCAATTACAAAACAAACGGAAAAAAAAATCATCGGTAATGTAGTTTTCGTCTATTATAGCAAAGCTCAAGTTAACTGGTCGTTTTGAAGTGAAACAATTGACAACACACATTGACGACTCCCGTCAGTTGTTTCGTATTCGGGCTGGCCAATCGGAGCGCAGTTGTCACAGTAATGATATGGCAGAATAGTTTTCAAACAAATTAAATGACATTTCATCTCTATTTCTGGTTATATACTCGACGTGACAACCCTACGCTCAGGGTGAAGTTAAAAAGTCTCGGCGGCGCGAGCGCAACCTTAAAACGAATTTGTATAACAGTGTTTGTTTTTACAAAAACCGTTATACCAATAATTTTTCAAAGAAAAAATAAAATAACGTATTTTCTATTGTAATCAAATTTTCATCAGTTCGATCAGGCGTTCCGATCGCACGCACGCGCACGCTTCTGTATTGTGTATGCGTGAAAATCGCAACGCCAGAAATATAATAGACAGTAATAAATATAAAGTCCGTAAGTTTTATCTTACAAACTTCTTTTTATGTAAGATCAATTGACGGGACGAACAAGTCGTGCGCCTGATGGTAAGCCACACGCCTGTACATAACAGTTACATTGCACAGAGCTTTGAATCGCAAAGATCTGAAGGGCACTGCCACTGTGCCCGACACCCTAAGACATAAGTTGACAAGTCCCATTTATGTCTGTAATTTCATCATCACCCGGCGGCGACGCAGCGTTTACGTCAAACAGGCTGGAGTTGGATGGCTCGACTTATTTTTACTATGGGCGGTTTGATATGTGACTATCAGAAGAAAAAAAATTTTTCACGGCACTGGCTCGGAAAGGCTTTCTTTCTGATTAGAAATCTGCGCGCAAAAGCGTTTTTGGAATTCGAACTTGACGATGGACTGTGGTGCACCTAACTTTTTCTTTCGATGAAAAAAAAAAAACATAACGACACGTGTAATATAAATCCGTTGACATACTCGAATTTTATTCTTATTATTGTTGACATTAAATTGACAACGATAACTAATTTTGTTTACTAAAATTGTTTTGTTATAATTATTAATACAAAGATCGAACTTAGAGAAAATTCCTTCATGTCAGACACTATGCCATCTAAGCCACGAAACAAACCATCGGATTTCATAAGTTTTTCTATGTGCTTGTTGCCGTATCTTTTGTATTTCACTCACTGGTTCCAGACTCGAAGCGTAGGCCATTCGTCCAAGTGCAAGGTTTTGCAAACTTTCCGTTTTATCATTGAACCCTTCATAAGATTGAGTCACTGTTATTATTATTATTTTCTTGGTTCGAAATGTTTATTTATTTCTCACACATTATTTATTACTTACTGCACAGAATCTTAATTACATCTTCATATAACATATGTATATACCTATTACCTAAGTAATTAAATTAATTTACACTTAAGCTGTTTTATTTATCTATGCATTCGTTTTATGTGTAAATATTTTTATGTATATGTAGGAGGAGGCTCGGACATTGTAAAGGAATACAAGTTACACTACTAAGACTTTTAATTTTGATAAATTGTACCACACAAAACAAAATGAACTCTAAATGTAATTAATTTAATTTTCTTATCAATAAGACAACAGACTAATCAAATTAAAGATGATATTTCACCAACGACACAACACGTGCACCCGTGAGCGAGCGGAACCTCTCTGGCCACAGTGAAAAGATCCCCCTCCGCCAGTTACCAACGCCTTTTATCGGCGTTGCGAAACAAGTCTGTTCCGATGACGTAATGTCTCCTGACCGTTGCACGCGTTATTTACATTTCGCTGAATATGAAATATCGTCACATTTAGCACGTCACGACGACGCCGCCGTCATATACCAAGCCTCACGCATATGTTATGCATGTATTTGTTTTGTTTGTGCTCGAGTCCGTGCTTCACTCATATCGGGCTTGCTGAAAACCAGCGCTACAGGCTGAAATCTATGAGCCTGTAGCTAATAGCTGAGCAAATCCCGTTTGCGTGCGCCGCGACACGCATTTATTATTACATTTTGAATTTTTTTATTTTTTATTTTATTTTGTTTTAATCATTATAATTATGTTTTAACTTTTGTTGTAAGTCCTGTATTTTAGTTTAAAGTTTATAATGTTCTATTTTAATTTTAAGATCATGTGTGTCTCGGTGCTTACGCAATAAAGTATTCCTATTCTTATTCTTATTCTTATTTGCTTTTTCAATGTCTTTTTAGCCGTTGCGCCATCTATGAGACATGTATGAAAGTATTTCGTCACCCAGTTAGATACCTTTACAGCTACTAGCCCCAGCTAGAGATGTCGCTATCCATTATATTTAAATTTTTATGTTTTACATGAAATTATTCCACTAGTTTGTTAAAGTTATTAATACAAAGAACAAACACTATGAAAAATTTTTGTTATGCTTCACGTATTTCTTTCATCTATCATTTTCCTCGCTATAAAAGTGGAAAGTTTTGTGTTTCGCTCGGCAGCAAGGTAGTTTTGCGTCTCGTGTCTTGAAACCCTTGCTTCGGTTATTATTCTACTTTTGAATTTCTATTTCTATTCTATGGTTCAATCTTAGAGTCCTTCGCTTGCTAAGGTTTCAATACAACACTCGCGTCAATTTGCAGCCTTTGTATAACAAATACCTGTTTTTTTTTAAAATTATGATTTGTTTTTGAACGTGATCTCCGGTCAAACTGAAAAACAAGCTTCTGTTTCAGTTACCACTTCCTCATTTGATAAAAAATCAGATAATAAAGTCAAATGGGGCCAAATCTGGTGAATACTTTGGGGTGTGACAATAATTCGTATCATAATTCGTTAAGTTTCGATGTTCGGATTGCAGACGAGAAACGGAATACTTGAAATTCCGTTGTCTCCATCTTCAAAAAATATATCGACCTCATATAACATTATTATTTCTTTTTCTTTACTTTCGCGGTATTTTTTAAAAAAAAGTAATGTGAATCGAAGGAGTTTCTTAATTAAGAAATAAATATTTATTCCGAAAAGAGTTTTTATTTAATCTTAAAGTCCGTATCTAACAAAATCTCGTATCTACTAAGTTCAATGCATCTGCTATCAAACAGAACATTCCAGTAATTAATAGCATTGCTGTTTCCATTGTTCCTGTTTCAACGTTGTTACATGTTCTCCATTATTGCGTCGCAGCTTAAACAACCACGTATGATGTATCATAAGTCAGTTATCAGAGTACTCCTGTATACTGTCACTGTTGAGAACTATGGTAACCTTGTATATGTACACAATACGTCACTAAATGACACGAAAGACCATGAAACCTGTGATGATCAGATTGCTAGGAATTAAGCATCTAAAGGGTAAACGACTTCCA